ATTTCAAATAAGGCATGTTTGATTTTCCTTCCACATTAGTATATTTTTGCTTTTGGCATAACTTTGAAAAGGGGTAGGCAAACATCGGAACTCCAGATGCTGTGCGGCTACATCTCTTCTGATACTTTGTCAGCATTATGACTGTAAGTATATTATGGGAGATGTAGTCTACAACATTTGAAGTGCACAAGGTTGCCAATCCTGCCTTAGAACTTACCATTATAAAGTCGAACACCCTAAATAACCCTCCCCAAATATCTAGAAATTAGTGTAACCAATACATGAACCAATAACGTCATAAAATACAGTAAATGTAGAAGACTGTTTCTATTCAGTACACAATCTGAGAAGATAAAGCAACGGGTCTGCTGAGACATGCTTTATTAAAGGGACAATTGAAGCTCCATAAATACTTGTAGTGGTTATGGTGTAAGGAGTCTCTGTGTGCCTTCCGCTATTTTCTCTTTCACATTTCAGCAATTTGATAAAACCAGGGGTTCTGTCTGCATCCAAGCCCTGGTTCTTCTGTTAATAGTCAGATAATGCAGACTTCTGAAAACAATGGGTGATGGGGGAGCAGGCCAGAGTTTGCATCCCATCATCGCTGCACGAGGTAGGACAGTTTTGGATGAATAACGCAGAAGAAGTTAAGCTCCCACATTTTTGAGGGGCAAGCAATGGACTGTGCTGTTTGAGCTGTTTTATGTTTGGCATGTCCCTGTCACAGTTTGACAGAAAATGGGGGAATGGCGAATAAAGACTCCCGTCACCATGACTGCTACACGATTTTTGGGTCTTTCATTGTTTCCTGCCCACCTGGCACAGTTAATATATATATATATTTTTTACTGCCAAGGAAACGGAGAGACAGTCACAATCACTGCTGTCCACATTTATACAGATAATAAAAGAGTGAAGCTGTACAACTATAATGGTTAAAGTCCCTTTCATCTTCAAACAGGTTACTGGCAATGCAAAACTGGCAAAACACTGGTACGTGTTTCCAAATACAATCTTCATAATCACTGCTGCACTCTGCAAGAAAATCCATGCATGTTTTGTGTATTCATTGTCTATGTGCAAGCTCTATATTTCAGATTGGATCATTTGCTACTCTGGGGGAATAATAGAGAAAAATCCCTAATAAAGGACACACAGTCACTATTGAAAACATTTAGAGGAGGCTATGTGTGATATGCATGTTTGCATGTATAGGATAAAGAGTGTAGGCACAGATGTTTATACACGAATGCGCAAGTGGTGTGTGTGTGTGTGTAACATAATGTCAGTGTATCTATGGTAATCTGAATATGCAGCTAGAAGGGTGGGTAACCAGTGGAAGATAGTATGCAGAGTGAATGCAAAAACATGGAAATCAGCCTTTACTATAATGACTAGTAACCATGAAAAATCTTAATAAATACACAACTGTGTATTTGCCGTGTTGAACATATGTCATTTCAAATGAGTTTGGGACACAGTAAAACAAAAACATAACTCTCCTCCCCTCCCCCAATCCAAAACAACCAAAAACAACCCCAAACAAACCCTCAAAACAACATGACGTCCGTTTTCTTTTTGAAAAATACAAGAAAAAACAATCCATTTTTACTGGTGTCAACGACCGTGACATTTATTTTATTATTAAATAAATCCGCTCCAATAAACACAAGCTCTGCAATCAATTTGGTAATATAAGACTCTGTCTGTCCATTCTCATGCACTAAACTAGGTTGTGACGAACAGATTTAAATGTTATTCATAAAAACATTATTAGAGCATTGCAGAGACTGTTGGACAGACTAGTTCTTTTACACTCCAGCAGAGCTTACTGCATTATGAACTACAGACAATAAGTGCATTTTCTAGAGATACTGCCAAAATGTGTGGCATGTCAGGAAGCAAGACTATCACACAATGCATTTTCAGGCATTTATCAAATAATAATGCATCTTGTTTTAGTCTTTTAAATAAAAAACATCTCCTTTAAATGGATACTATAGTCACCAAAACAACTTTAGCTTAATGAAGCAGTTTTGGTGTATAGATCATGCCCCTGCAGTCTCACTGCTTAATTTATTGCACATTGTTTATGCAGTCCTAGTCACACCTCCCTGAATGTGATTTGCACAGCCTTCCTAAACACTTCCTGTACAGAGAGATCTGTTAATACGTCCTTAATTGCACAGTCTGTTTAATTTAGAATTTCTTAACTCCTGCTGTTAGTAGCCTTCTAGACCCTGCAGGAGCCTGCTGAGTGTGATTAAAGTTCAATTTACAGAGCAGAAGATATAAACTTTGTATACAATAAAGACTGTCAGAAATGCCAACTCTCCATTTATGCCGATTAAATTAATCTTCACAATCAATGGGTTAAATATGGCTATAAACCTGTAGGCAATGCTGTAATTTTTAGTAACCGGCATTTAAAGCAGTTGCAGATGCTTTGTTAAAGGAACAGTGTAGGCAGTGGTTATGGTGCCCTGACACTATCCTTCCATTCAAACTATTTGCACAGTTTAGCACTAAATAACTGTTTCTGGCCACCACTGGATGTATGGATAAGACAGGGATTACACACGCTCTTCTAGTCCTACCAAGTCCTACCCGTAATGGGCATTGTCACAGACTCAAAGTGTTTTAAACCCAGTTTGTTTCAATGTAGCTGTTGACTTTAAGTGAAAATACCATGAAGGGGTTAACAACCCATGACTGCCCTGTTACATCAATGCTTGCTAGGGCACTGTGCAATCAGAACCCTTCAAATCACACTTAATACTGCATGCAAGATTATATTATCCGTTTGGGAAGTGCCCAACAAATTGCTTTGAGGAGGTGATTGAGCATCATTAACTAGTGTCAACTCACAAAACGGAAAGTTTGTACCCTTGGAATAAACTCACAGCTGTAATCCAGCAATTATAACTCAGCAGGTAAAAAAAACAAAAAAAAAAACTGTCATGCTAATCACCTATAGCATTTACAAATCAAAGCTGCTTCTAAACAGAAAAAGGATCATTTCTGCAGCCGTCAAAACAAAGAAAATAAACGCCAACAATCCTGCGCCAGCCACTCAAAGAAAGCCCACCTAACTGGCACTGCAGCATTTTTACTACAGACACAACCAGCTCACATGCCACGCTGTCCTATTAAAGTTACATTCAATCATTAAATCCCACTTTATTTCTGCTGCAATTAACATTTTCAACCCAATTATTATAGTTAGTGAGCATATTTCAGCCTTTACCAGTCCATTAACAAAAACAGAATACAAGACAACACTAATGACCTTCAAATCAAAGTAAAAACAAAATACCCTCCCCCACCCCCCCAATTTTTTTTTAAAATATTTAAAATGCCCTTTTCCACTATGAAATAAACAAAGAAAATTATACTGTACATTTTCTTTCACCTGTCCGCCTCCAACGGTGCTGCCCTGGGAGATTTCCGAAGTGCTGACAGCCTGCTTCTCTGCATCCTTACTGCCAGAATCACGCTTGCTCTGCGGAGTCCTCTGCTAGTGACAAAGCAGAGAACGAAAATAAGACAAAGCACGTTCAAGGCTCGACGAGATCTCACAGGCAGCCCATCGTGTTTTATAAAGCCACTGGGCTGTGTAACCTGCTGTAGGTCTATCAGGAATTAGCAGCACTGGCTGCGAGATGGGGAGAGATGTGGGATAAAAAGGAAGTGTTTCAGCTGGGGATTAGGGCCCTGGCAAACAAAGGATGTGCTGCGAGACATGGGAAAACCTCCCTCCACCAGCTGAGCTCCGTTAAGACAGCACCAAAGATGTTGAGCTAGCAGTGAGGAGCTGTCTTGCCTGCAGTCACATGACCTCATGCATCTTTCAAGCCCCGGGCAATGGCTGTCTTAATTCACCATCAGGACTGCAGTAAATAATATGACTTCTGTCATTTCATTTTAACCCAGTTAGTTTATACTTGGAATAGAGGTTTTAGCAATGTAACATCATATAATCCATTCTGTTTAGGCTGTACTTGCCCCTCCTCCATCCATCTTAATTTGGATACACTGTGATTAGACAATAATAAGCAGTCATGGCGGCAATTTAATTTGCACTTATCATAATGACTTGTTCTATAGATCTATGACAGAAAATAGCATTAAGAATAGATAGAAATGTGCCCATTTGCCCCACATGGTGTGTGTTTAGGAAATTGAGTCACAAACAACTTTTACATTTATGAAACGGGGCCCCTACTTATTGTTTTTAAATTAAATGAATTACACAGACATTCATAACTGCTATATTCATGGATTGCAATGCAATAGCACACATTTAAAAAGCACATAAATTGAACATACATATTTTTATATTTATTAACCATTATAACAACGGAAACATTTATTTAATAAACACCCTTGATCAATTAATTGAGGAGTTTTAGCCTTAGACATATCAACATTATTATGTAAATCATGATATCTATTATGAGAACAGATAGTTATGAATGCATGCATGTGTGACTGCCTGGCTAGTTATGTGTGGCTGACTAGCCATGAATGCATGCATGACAGATTGGCTAGTGATGTGTGAATGGCTAGTTATAATTATAGTTGTGTATGTGTTTTTTTTTCTACATGTGTGATAATTGGAGATCACTAACTGCCCTAAATTCAGTCAATGCTACAGAAAATCACAATATTGTAAAACCATTTGTATAAGTAGGTTGGGCTGTACAGTGACTTAAGAACCATCACATTATCAAGCGAAATTGCAAAATATAATGCAGTGCTTCAGAACATAGCATAATTAATTAAAACCAAACAAAATCCATACATTTTATTACACCCATCTATTACACATTTTATTACAGAAGTCATTGTGATCAAAACAGTATTTACATGAAATTTATGCCACGGACTCTTAGGAGAGGGGGCAGAGAACCAAGATAAAAGTCGAGCATACTATCACTCATACAATTTATAAACTAAGCAATAAAACAGTATATTCTAGTACAGGGCTGGGCAACCTTCTGCACTCCAGATGTTTTGGACTACATCCCCCATAATGCTGGCAAAGCACCATGGGAGGTGTAGTCCAAAACATCTGGAGTGCCGAAGGTTGCCTATGCCTATTCTAGTATATTAGTAAAGATCACATCCTCTGCTGGCCAGCAGAAAACCACTGTGTTGACAATAAATATTTGACTAACCGGTTTTATTTTGGGAACAAATTAAGTCTACTCCTAAACATCTACAGTGATTGAAGGAAGAATTAACAGGACTGTTCATTAAACTACACATTTTCACAAACTAAATGAGAATGGCAAAACTGAGGTCTCCAACTAAGCTATAGTCTCAGTTTGGCTATTTTTGCCTCCGCTTTGCAAAAACATGAAAAAGTAACAAATCAAGCATTATTTAAAAAAACACAAACAAACAATATTGCTAGAATTGTTGATGCCCCATGAAAGCAGTTTTAAAAAAGCAAAGCATCCACTTGGCACAAGCCATTTAATTCCACACAGCTGCTAGCATTCAGGGTTTTCGGAAATACACATATGTTCCCGTCCGGCTGCCTGATTTTGTGCGTGATTTAATAAAGCACTCATTAAAGATCTTAATTTAGAAACACAATTACTATCATTCAGATAGTCAGGGGCACTCGGCAGATACAATCGAGGCACTTAAATTGTACAGCACAAAGAAGATATCAGCTCTCTAATCTAGAATTTATTTGACCATAAAAAAACACCACCAGAAACCGCTCTTTGAATACCAGCCTGGATTCCTACAGGATCTGTTAATCTGACAGGCAAACCAGGATAAAAGAAATGATCTGATTGGTTAGATTATAGGGAAGAGACAAATTTGGTAAAAATGAACGACAGGAAAAATATGCATTAGGACTGGTAGAGGCAACTGAGTCTGCTCCAGGGTAATTAGTTGTAACATTTAAACACTGTATGGTATCATGGACTATTCACACACTACTACTGATGGTTTCCAGATTGGAATGTAATTCAAAACAAGGCTCGACAAATTTGCTTGAAATCTAGAAGCCAGCAAAAAAATTTAGGAGACAGATATTTCAATGTCAAAAATACAATTCTTAAAGGGGCACTATAGCCTATATACTGTCCCTGCACGTTTTTCAATGTAAACACTGACTTTTCAGACTAAAGGCAGGGTTTACATTGCTCTGGTAACTCCTTTAGTGACAGTCACTCAGACGGCCACCAGTGTGCAGAACCTACGTTAATGCTCCCCATAGGGATGCATTGTTTCAACGCATCTCTATGAGGTGAAGTTGACTGCGTAGCAGGACGTTTTTCCGCGCTTCCACAATAGTCTCTCAATATTTTTCTATGGGGAAGCATTGGATTGGCGGAGATTGTCAAGACTGATGATCTCAGTCATGGAGGTGGGGCCAGCAATGGGATCACCAGCACAGCGTGGTAAAAAGGTGAGTAAAAACACCTTTCCCTGAAACTGGAGGGGACAGGTCACCTAAACACACACACTCACAGACAGACACTCACTCACAGACAGACACTCACTCACACACACACAAACACTGCAACACTCACTCAGAAATCCTTACTTTTTTATTTAAAATCCACCCAGCCTCCCTACCTTTGGGAGAACTGGAATGGGTGGATCAGCTTTCACTGGGGTCCAGTCGGGCTGCTGAACTCTTCCTGCTCTGCTCCCTAGAGCGCTGTTAAGTGATGCAGTGCCGGAATGATGTCATTCTGGCTCCCGGCATCACGGAAAGGTGCACGAGGGAGCAGAGCAGGGACACTACAGCTCCCTTCCTCGCCGCGGCGGCGCTCATTCAGCTGCATGCCTTCCCTACACAGCCGCCCGCCTCCATCCAACAGTACTCAATGAGCTGGACATCCGCTTGCCTGCGTGAGCCGACTGCCCACCTACAATCTCAGACAGCCGGTCACCTCAGGGGCTGAACAGTGTCACAAATCCTAGGCGCCATGTCGACCAGGAAATTTGTCCTGGCGCCTGGGATTAGTCGAGCCCCGATTCAAAACACTGCATTAAAAGAGAATAAAAAATACAAGCAATATTTCATCATCTAACAGAGGGAAGATCTCTGAATAGTAATATATTATCCCACAGAGAACATACAAATATCACCCCATTAGATATTTACACCTATTATTAAACTCACCAAGGTGTAACTCTGATATCTGCAATGTTTTTATTAGAGCAGAGTTAGCGACGGTCACAGAACTTCTATTACTATAATAATAACCTGACCACTGTGAGAAGACTATATTGGATGGAGGGGCCCATCTTTCAAATTCGTTTTTTACGGTTAGTGGGTGATTGGGCCTCCGTAGGGTTTCTAGTCCACCATATACCCATCTACCAGCTGGGTAGATATAAGTCAACTCATGTGAAAGATGAAAATTCTCCCCCCCCCCTCCCCATAGTACAGGATTTCATGCGGCAAACACCATAACTCCTAAAAATAAATTTAGATCTAAATCGCTCTCACCAAGTTTGAGCAACTGAACAATGGTACAGCATGAACCAAACTCTTTCTTACAATCGCACTCGTTTAGTAACTACAGCCTAACTTATGGACATAAGGGCAAAGGCAAGTGATTGCTGTGGGCTTTACCAGTTCAAGGTGATCATGTCATTTTAATTCCTACTCTGGGCAATGAATTCTGAGACATGCATGGAGTAGTATTCCAATAATGTATGAACAAAACGCAGTTGTATTCCTTAATAGCAATGCTGTTATTTGATACAAGAAACGATTAGAATGGCTCCAGTCAAACAATTCAATAACTGACAATATCCCAAACATGCTGCGTCTGCGGGGAGAGAGAGGGAGAACTGCTAGTCAGGTTTAACCTTTCATTACATTGCAATAATAAAATTGCTGGTTTGCAAAGCGTGAATGCATCATCTCATTGCAGACAGGTAGGACAAATAACAGTAACCCATGTGGAATAAAAAGCATTGCTCAAAGATATATACAAATAGGTTCTACTAGGTTGTCTAGAAGACAATCTTGATCAAATTAAAAATAAATTGAGCTTTTTGACTCGTAGCACTTACCAAAATCAGCCGTAACAATCAAAAACCCACACAAGTCATTTGTGTCGGGTGAATTTGTGACTGACCATGCCACCCCAAGTCAGAGGAATAATGAAAAAGGGAGTGGGAGATGTAGAGGCAGGGAAGGTTAGCAGGATGTAGACAGGAACACTAATGAGGAGTCCTATATTTATAACACATAATGAATGTCTCATTATCCTTCCTTTCTTCAGTGGTAGCACATGAAACAGAGAGATATTCTTTGCATAATGGATAATAGGAGTTGCAGGGGGAGTGATAATGCCAGGAATACAGCTTATTTCCAACCCTGATATATTCTGTTTTTGACCTTACAAACTAGATATCAACTAATCCAAATTCACCAATCAATCAAAAGCAATTTATAACATCTGGGGCAAAAAAGGATGGCAATGTTCTACTGCAGCAAACAGATTTGTGGGTCACAATTAACGCTAAAATAGCCCAGCTGGAGCATTTTTCCGCAACAGCTATTTTATTGTGAATTCTGCCTTTTGCTTTTCAATCTGCTACAATATGGAGTTAGGGTAACAAATCCCAATGAGAAGATGTTAACATAAGTATAAAAATCAGCCCAGTCGCACTGTGGTAGCAGACCAATAAATTTCCCGGTATCAAACAAGCAGACGAATTAATGATTAAGACGAACTAACCTCTGTTTCTGCAGCTTGGGACTGTAAAAGCTGCCGAATGCGGAAGATATCCTTTTCGATCTGCTGAATTTTAGACACCCGTGCCTGCAAGAAGCATTAAGAAAATTGTTGGTGATTGGCAGAGAGAATTTCAGAGTTCACAGCAACTCGTGGTGTTAAGGGTAAATGCGATGCATTCTAATTGCAATGTAAAGGTTATCCTATAAGATTTATGATATCCAGCCAGTGAAAATATGTCCTGCCAAAGAACCGCAAGGAAAAAGATTGTAAATAAAAGTACCCTAACTATTCTGCTTCATGCTTATATTCCACTAGATTACCATCTCTGAAGCTGTACATCCTATTAAGTGGCAGAGGTTGCAAAGTCATTCCATAGAGTGAGAATGGTCAGAAATTCTAAGAGAATTTTAAATTTAAAGGACAACTATAGGCACCCAGACCACCTTGGCTCAATGAAGTGGTCTGGGTGCTAGGTCCCCCTAGTTTTAACCCTGCAGCTGAAAACATAGCAGTTTCAGAGAAACTGCTATGTTTACACTGCAGGGTTAATCCAGCCTCTGGTGGCTGTCTCCCGGAGACACTGCCGTCCCCTAGGGATACTGAGTAAATCGCACTTATTTGACGTTGGATGTCCTCACAGATGTCCTCACGGTCAAAAAAGATTCCCATAGGAAAGCATTGAGTATTGCTTTAAAATAGGTGTTTTTGAATTCGTACGCCCCTCTGACAGCTCATGCGCATCCGCTCCACTAGGAAGCGGACGTCGGAGGAAAGGTCACCAGCGCCGAGGGAGCCCTGCACTGGATTAAGGTAAGCAAATAAATAGTTAATTAACCATTTATTCGCTGTGAAACAGGGATTTAGTCACAGTTTGGGTGACTAGGGCTCTATAGCATTAGGAATACATATTTGTATTCCAAACGCTATAGTGTTCCTTTAAGGCACAGAATTTCCAAACTGGCTTGGAAAATGTTTACCGTTTGGATATTTTGGCAGTAAATGGGCTCTATCATCTATCATCTATAGCTTTTCATAAAGATGCAATCTTTCTAAAAGGTTCGTAGAGATGGTGTTGAAATTTAACTAAAATTCCAACTCAGTCAAAAGATATAAGACAATTTGGGAATATTTATGAAAAATCCTCTGCTTAACAAAACCTGACAAATAGTGGAGCTACCGCCTTCAAGTTCTGTCACTTTCCAGAGTAGTCGCTAGGGATGGCTGTGAGAATCAGGCCTTTTGCTCATCTATGGAAGTACCCACGGGATCTTCAAAAGACAGCTTTGTACTCTTGTGCATGTGTGAGAGTACAGCACTGACGTGGATTCCTGATAGATGAAGTGCAAGAGAATTAAG